CCTTTGTAAGATTATGTACTTACAGTGACTGAAGAAGATCTCAATATAGAAACTGAAACCTTGTCCTATTTTTATTCAACAAGAATTGCAGTCCGTTAAAGTTCTCAAACTTATATAATTTCTATTACTTCTCACTCACAGGAGACATCAGATACTTTTGCCTTGAATGCCTTCCATACTCTTTACCAAGAACAGATTTTGATTTTATTCCCAGACCTCTCTTTCCTCTAAAAGATTTGGGCTACTTGGGATGAATGTTTATTTTTTCCCAACACCCTTCTTTCTCTTTCTTCTCTGTACAGTTGTTCAGAACCATACCATTTCCTTTGTTCATATCAGGCAGTTCACTGTTATCTATCTTACACTACTCCGTTTTATGAAAACCAACATTTATTTTTTCTTTTGGCCATGAGATTCCTCTTCTTCTCCTGACTTATCCCCTTTTACCATGACTGTTTTGATTAAATAACTTATCTAGCTTGTTTGTTCCCACAAATTTTATCTGAGATCTGTATTTATGCTTGTTAAGTTTATTTAAATGTGCATAATTGTCCAGTTGCTTGTTGTCTTAGTAAATAGAGCATACATCTCAACAGGTGCCAAAAATTTTACTTTCAGATTAAGCCACATCATAGTATATGAAACCAGTTACTTAACAAAATAGAAACAGGGGTCATGGGAAAGCAAACTAAAGGTATGGTTAAAGAAAGAGTAGTCTTGGTGAGCAAAATAACAGATTTGTAATGAAAGAAAAAACATATAGCTGTGGCTAATAAAATTTAATTGTCATATTTAGAAAAATAGTATAGTCTTAGTTACTTAAACACACAGAGTTAATTGCATTTAACAGTTTGTATATACTAGCGTAGTAAGTTGCTGCTGTAGATGTGAGCCATAGTGTCACAGGTGTCACATTTAACTTATTAGCTGATTCATGCAAATTCCAAACCAGTGGAATACTAACATGGATAAATTATAGCTGGAAGTAAATGCCACAAACTATTCTTGGGAATGCTATTTGTATAGCATGGTTGTTAAATAAAGTAGAGGTAAAAAAAACATCATTTTGAACAAAAAAAGTCTTTAGTGTTTTCCATGAATGCATAAAAACTTGTAAAAAAAAGAGTATTTAGGATATTAATTGGTTCTGAAACCATGGCCTAACCCAATTTAGAGCAATGCTTGTATCTGCAAAGTTAAGGCTATAATTATGAAGGAAAACCTTTCATCCCAAAAAGCCATGAGGCTCAGCATATCTCCTGGTACTATTAATAAGATGATAAACACAGATTAGAAGCAAATGAAGACTCACAAGCAATTAATTTGTAAACTACAGGACACACTTTAACATGAATGGCTGTTTTCCTGAAAAAATATCCAAAGAGACTGAAGTCATAACAATTCCTTTTGATCACATATTTCCAAGTTCCCTAAAATATCTCCAATGACCATTTTGTGCTTTTGGTTTACAAAACCAAAAGTTTCTATTGTATGTGGATGTAAGCTTCCAATATCAAGTTTACATAAACTTGATCTTGGAAGCTTGCATCCACATACAATAGAAAATTTTTCAAGATGTATGATATAAGATTGACTATTCCATTCTTCACAGTAACTTATTACAATGGTAACTGTGGTGTAACCATAGCTATCAGATTAAGCAAGATTGAATACTTGGGAAATAGTTCCACAAAACATCAAACATTCATCTTGTGAAGTGCACTTAACCCCAGTAACAGAGTTATGTTTAGAGAAAAATTCTGCTCAAAAAATATAATTTAGGTGTAAAACACAGCAAAAATTAAAATTATGATGAAAAATGGCAAAGATTTTATTATAGAAGATTTTTAGCTGTGGTAAAAGAGATAGACTCTTAACAGAAGTAGCAGAATTATGGTTTTGAGAAGGAACAGGATCGCAATTGATATTTAGTTGAATGAAGGAGTATGTAGTACATATTTATATTGACTTAACTGATACATTAACTTGTGTGGTTTCCATAGGTTAATACCTTTAAGAGACTCGACAAAAAGATTTGAATTATTGATTTTGAAATATATGTATTCTTAACTGCTTGTTGCACTTGTGCCTCATCTATGATATAGAAAATGAAAGAATGTGCCCATTGTCAATTTTATTCGATTAATCATAATAAGTATCATTTCATGCACTTGAGTACAGAAAATGTTGAATACTGTTATTTTGATTTTCAGTATATGTCCTTACATTTGATAAATTTACAAAATAGTAATAGGCTACTTTTACCATTTCTTTCTTCAAATAAAATACTCATAGGAAATGTCAATCACATTTTTCTTGGTCAGTAGTTTTTAAATAGCTTATGTTATGATCGTGTATGATTTGAAATCTAAGATATTTGACTTGTTATGTTTTATGGACGTGTTCAGTTTGCTACGATTCTCTGATTGTTTGTATCCCCACCCTTTTAGAATACTTTCTTTTATTTATATACACATTCATTTCCAGCAAGCAGTATACACTTAACCATGTTTATGCAGATCCACATTAAAGTTAATAACTAAACATTCAGACTGTGAAATTATAACTTTTTTACTGGGATTTATCTGTTTTATATTTTTAATGAAATTTCAGGACATTATTTTCACTTACCTATTTTTAAGAGATAATTAGTGTATTCAGAATATCTAACAAATATTTTAAATAACTCATTTTAGGTAAATATTTAGCACAATGTGCATATTTGTATGTTACAACAGACATTTAGTCAATTTCTCAACTTTTGATTTTCTATAAATTTACTGTCCATGAGATACATCTTTCATAGCTTTCAGAGCACAATTTTAGTTTTATTCAAATTTTACTAATGACTGTGTTCAAAAGATGTTTTTTTTCTGGATTAAATAAAAGAAATTACAAATTATTAAAGAGTGACTGAAAGCATAACAAGTAAGCAACAAAACCTTCTAGAACTCGTGTATTTATAATTCTCTTATAAGTCATCTGGCAGTGAAGAAAATCAACCCATTATTCTTGTTATGAATATATGTAAACTTTACACAGGACCGAAAACTAAGTGCTGGAAGCTTTATGTGAAATGTACTCTTAGAGGTAGGTGGAAGTTAGATGTAATTTTGTTAGAAAGAATAAAGAAGAATTATGAAAGATATCAATATACTTTTGTAGAAGGTATAAGCTAAAGAAAGTGCAGAGAAAAAGCTAACCATTGTAGCTGTATGATAGACATTTTGTTAGAGGCAGGTCTACATTAAACCCAGTATAGACAGAAAACTATTAAAAGCTTTATGGAGATGTATTTGTAGAAATAGGTGAAAGTAAGATAAATTGCAGACAGACAGCTAAAGGTTACAGAGTATTATAAAGACTATATTATTTTATACTGCCCAGGTGACTCAGTTGTAAGTCTGAGGGCTTGTAGTGCTGAAAGTTATATTTTGTGTAACCTTGTTCGTAATAACAAACAAACTTTATTTTATATTCCAAGTTAATGAATAGAATGTGGCATTGTAACAAGACAACTCTTTTGAAATGCTGTTTAAATGTCCTTTAACCTCACAGGACAAATATAAGAATTTGGAACATTTTTGTATCAGATTTTGTTTTAGACCCAGTCAGTTACTGTATGTGATTGGTATTTGTATGACAGGAAAAGATGTAAGAAAATGTAATTGTACTAAGAAAAAAAGCTTTCTTAATTTTTTAAAAAATAATCATGACATATTCTTGAAATTTATCCAAATACAGTCTTATTTGTCTTTATATATGTGCATGTTTTATTTAAACACACCTTCATTGGCAATTGTCTAAATTTACAAATTAGAACGTATTATTTTGTTATCTAAATTCATTGAAATAAGTCTAATGATATGTGCCATTACAGTGTGAGTATACTCCACTACACTTGTCAAATGTAAACACACAAGAACTGTATTTTGATAATCTTTAGTGCTTTTTCTGACCTTTTAGCATGTTGAAAAATACACTGCAATGATATAATTTATATAAATTATGTAATTTATTAATAAAGATTAAGTTTACACATTTTTTTACAAATGTTAATGATTGCAAAATGAAGAAATTTTCCAGCATAAAAAAAGTCCTATGTATTACTAATATTATAAAAAAGTTTTTGACAAAATATAATGATTAACTCATTCATTGACATGACATAAATGAACAACTGTCGCAGTTTCAAGTTTATTTCTTTAATAATCACAGAAAAATGTGATGTCATATAGTTACTTATGTATATATCTCACTTATTGCTTATCATATCAACATGAATTGTGTTATTGAAGTAATTCTCTGAGATATTTCACAGATAATATTGTTCAGGTTATAAGAATTATTAAGTAAAATAATTATTTGTTAATTGAATTTCAAAGTTTACAAGTTAATATAAAATATTTATGGTTTTTCAAATTAATTATGAAGGTCTTGATTTTATTGCATACTTATTTCTTATAACATTTATTTATTATCATACTTTTGAAGGCTAAAGCAAAGGTTATATAATGTGTTTCACATAGATGTACTCATGGCAATAAAACAGTTAAGAGAAGAAAAAGCTGTGAAAGTAAAAAGAAAACAAAGAGAAACGTTATTTAAATAATATGTATTATAAGTTTTATAAACATAATTTTGCAGTTAAATTGTTTTATGTTACTTTTCTGCTATAAAAGAATTCAAAATTTGTTCATTTTACACTAGTCTTGTGCCCTTCCCCCATTCCTAATGGCAGCCTTTCTATTCGTGACGTTTTCAATATGCATAGTTACATATACTATCTGATCTAAAAATATCCAAATACAATTAGATATGAATAGCTGGATATTCTAAGTCTGATGAAAGTTACTAGTTGTCGCATCCCTAATTTTGTTAGATATGATCTTACTAACAATAAATATTATATATTGCATTTCAAACTGTTCATTATAATGCTGGTAAGATTTGTGCTTATGATACTGTTAGTATAGTTAAAGATGTGTATTTTTTTACAGATAATCCATTGGCTTGGAAAGCTTGAAAATGGTAAAGCTACAGACACAGAAACCTTGTTGTTTAGAATGTTAACACCAGTTTTGAAACTGTTTACAGCAAAACAGGTTAGTATGAGTGAAACCTGAAGATTTGAACTAAATTTATTCTGAAATATTGTGGCTAATTGTAAAATAATTGAATTTTATGAAGATTCAAGAATTTCTGTTTGAGGTGAGCTTTGCAAATTTATTTTTTGTTATTTTTTTCATGTCTTATAAACACTGATAGAAGATTATGTGTGTGCATAAATGAATAATGCAAGAAGCACATTGCATATTTGATTATTATCAAATATTCATTAAGATGCTGAAAAAAGTCATAGACATTTTTTTCTCTTTTTTTGTAGTTGTAATATTTGTGTATTTAAAGGTTAATGGATTAAGAAAACTTCCTAAAAGAAAAAGAATATTTAAATTTTTTTAATATTCCCAAAGTTATAATACATGTGAACAATGATATAATTTTGTGGAAATAATATTAAACAATTGTAGCTTGCCACACAATCCTTCATCTCATTCAACGAGTTCTTCATTCAGATAGTCTATTTCTTTGATTTTAAATTACATCTGATATAAATCATGTGCCTATCCATAATAAATGTATGGTTTAAAAACATTCACTACCCATGTAGATGTAATATTACTGTAAATAAGTATCATATTTAAACAGATTATACAAAAATGTTGAGTAGAAAATTCATCAGAGTGTTTTGTAAGGAGTTAAAACCCAGTGTTTGAACTATTCTTATATATTTATATATAGAAATATGCCAGTGTATGGCTTGCCTTTACTGATAAATATAAAAAAATAATAGTTTTTAATGTTCTCTATTCATAGTCTGTTTTATCAAGAAATGTAATTTAATATATTCATTTGATATTTTCTCTTGTGGTATGCTTAATACTTTTTGGCATTGAGTTAACCTTTACAGATGTAAAGAAATCTGGATTGAGCTACAAATACTGAGTTTGTGGTACTATTGTATTATAAGAAATATATATATATATGTTTTAATAAAACTTCTTTTATTGTAGAAAATAAATTCACTGTCTTTTATTCAGGTGTTAAAGAAATATTGCTTCCAGTTTCTCCCTGTCATATAACCTAACCTTGAAGGACATTAACAGGCCTGTTGATCCATCAAAGCTACTTAAAAATGCACTTAAAAATAAATAAAAATTCAACCCTGAACATTTAAATATTTAGCAAGCTTTTCTGCTAGAAATTTACTGCATTTCTCACATCTGAAGGCAACCCATTCTAAAGCTAGGGTACAACATTAAAACTGTCTAACCTGGAAATGACTATCCTGCAAAAATTTGTACTTGTTTCCCATTTTCCCACCATTGTCACCATCAAATACAAAAGCATGATACATCAATATTGTCAGTTCCCTTAATAATTTTGAACACTTCAGTCAGATCCTCTCTACCTTGTCTTTCTTTCTAGGGAAAACAATTTAAGAGATCCTAACCTATCCTCAGACAAAAACTTTTACATCCCAGTAGTCCTCCTTGAGCCATTTCCAACAAATCAAATATTTGAATAACTACAGTTATTAAAATAGTGAGTTTTGTGACAATTTATGGATTATAATCCATTTGTGGAAAGTTTTACATGTAAATCTTGTTTAGTAACTCATTCTGTAATATAAAATATACTGTATATTAATGATTCATAGAGACTCACACCTACTTATGTTTAAATTAACTAACTATAATAATGACCAAATCTCATGAAACAGTCCTAGTTGTACCACAATGACAGCTCATCAGAGGAGGAAGTGAATGCCATACTTCCTCAAAGATTTTAAAAAATAAAATATTTCTTACTTTTTATATTAATACCCATATTTTCTTTGTTTTGAGCACAAAATTCTTGAAAAACTGCATATTCTTGTAGCAAAACACTCAATAATCCCACTCTATACCATTCGTTGAAATTACTCTTTGTAGCATGAGGCTCAAATTGGTTGTGCCTCTCAGCTCATTCAAGTTATGAATGATGGGCTTTTTGATCTGCATCCCACTATTTACTGCCTCTAC